TGTAGTAATAAGTATCTAAAAATTTAATCTATTTTTCAAGAATAAAAAGGAAGTAAAGCAAAAATTGATGAAATAAATAGAGGGTATGAAAAAATAACGAAGGAAGAAGAAGATTAAAGACTGAAAATTACTACCTTATTACGGGCCATCTTGAAGAGGAGCAAAAGGGAAATTGTTTATGAGTAATTTTGGAAAGTAGAGGAAGTGCTCATAGGGCTGTTTAGTTCTTATTCCCGCGCCCTGGTTGAATACATCGCAGTTTCTCAAAACTTGTAGCGGAATTTTCACTAAGTTCTACTAGTATCTAAGTATTTGAAAAATGAAGAAAGGGAGATTTCATACATCGCCCCCTCTTTTTCTTGTTTCATCTCTATTTTCCCCCATAAGTTGTAAAATGTCCAAATCCTATAACATAAAATAGGGGTAGGCATCGGTCGATTCGGTTCGGTTGTGAATGTTATCGTTTTGGCATATCGGTTATCGGTTTATAAATATGTTAAACCGATAACCTAAGCGATAAGATATATCGGCTATCGATCGTTATCTCTTCGGTTATCGATTTACCCGATAAGATAACTCAATCTCGATTCTAGAGGGTAGAATTAATGAAAGATAATGTTTACTGTATAAAGAATATGATAAACTTTCTCGATTGTTGTAACCCTCTCAAAGAATATAATAAACCTTACAACATTGTTTCTCTATGTGTAGAATGACAAATTTGGAAGGCTTAGAACAGTAGATAGGGAATTGGGAGAATTGAAAAGTTTATATATCTAAGGGTAAAATTGTATTTTTATAAAGTTTATTGGGTTATCGATTAAACCGTAAAAAAAATTGGGCAAACCGAGAGCCGAAGCGATAACCCAACAATAAAATAACACTAAATCGTTACCAAATCGTTAATCCAATAATCCGATACCGATAATCCAATAAGCTTTTTTCGGTTCAGGCTATCGATTTTACCGATATATGCCAGCCCTAGCATAAAATGCTTTTATGATTTATTTTTTTTGGAACAATAAGTTTTCAAATCCTATAACGTAAAATGCTAATCGAAAGTTTTTTCCTTCCTCTTTTTTCAGCAACAATGATCAGTAACATTGTAGAGTAAGTAGGAATATTATGTTTTAGTTTCAATTTAAAACAACTCGGAAGAAAATTTATCATTTTTAATACCCCACCTAACATATCCTACTCTTTTACCTTTTTAATTATTTTCATTATAACATCTTATTTTCGTTGTAGTTATAATTCTTCTTGTGGTTAGGAGGTAACACGAACTGCAATATAAATCCTTTAAACTATAGACAAAAAAATTGCTATATGTTCTTTTTGCTCTAAAATTTGATACTTTTAAGTAGTAGTTTCAGTCATTTGGGTCTATCTTTGCAAACAAAATCAAATATTGAGAAAAGTACAATATTAAAGTTACACAACTTATCCTGATATTTTTATTCAGTGAGTCGTAGTAAAAACTAGAGGTGTTAATGGTTCGATTTAGATCGATTTTTTCCTAAAAAGAAATCAAATCAAGTAAATTGATTTTTAAAATACTGGAATCAAACCAAAACAGTTATATCGATTTTTTAGTTTTTCAGTTATTTGTCGGTTTTTCTTAAATATGAGACTGTCACGACCCTATTCCCGGACCCGGTCGTGATGGCGTCTCTCGTGAAGACAAGGCCAGCCAATTAAACCCAATTTACCTTTTTAAACAGTTAAACAACACAAAGCAGTCTAAAACATGATTTAATAATATTAAGTAGCGGATCATATCAATAAAGTGCGGAAATACAACCCAACACAGCCCTAACCGGGATGTCACAAGTCATGAGCATCTATAAGTCATAATACAAGTCTGCTGAGTCTGTAAACTAGTACATCTGTCTGAACACATGATAGAAATGATAAAGGAGGAGAAACACGAAAACTGCGGATGCTAGGCAGCTACCTCGTGTACTTCGAATGTCCGCTGAAGCTGGAAGGATCAGTACTCGGGAGCGGAACCAGCTACGCCTGAATCTGCACACAGGGTGCAGGGAGTAAAGTGAGTACTCCAACTCAGTGAGTAACAAATGTAAATAATGACTGAAAGTAAGAAAACACGTAAGGCACAAGGCATACTATAATGAAGCAGTAAAACCATTTTAAAACAGTAAATCAGTGAAGAGTTAGGTAAAATCCTTTCTCAACAATTAAACAGGTAACTGACAGACAATTAAGATAAAGTAAACAAATAGAAGTTCGCCCCTCGGTCACAGTATCCACGAATCGCCCCTCGGGCAACATCTCAGAAACAGTACCAGCCCCTCGGGCTCAATCTCACATCACAATGGGTACCCGCGCTCACTGGGGGTGTGCAGACTCCTGGAGGGGCCCCTTACGGCCCAAACACAATATCAAGCCATCTCGTGGCATCAAAACTAGGCCCTCGGCCTCATATCACTCAAGCCACCTCGTGGCGTACATATCTCAGGCCCTCGGCCTCAAATTAGTATCAGTGTTCCCTTACAACATAGGGCCTCGGCCTTACTCAGTCAAAAATCCTCACAAGCCCCTCGGGCAATAGTAAAATAATGTTTATTAGCCCAAACATCATTTAAAATATCATTTAAGTCTCAAAACTTGAGTAAAAATGGCTGAGTATGAAAACAGAGGAAAATACCATGACTGAGTTCAAGTATAAAGTCAAAACAGTGAGGAAATATCAATAAAAAAGCCCCGAAGGGTTCAAATAGTTGGCACTAGACCCAAATATGGCATTCAGCCCAAATAATGATGATAGGAAATAGTTTTTAATCAAGTACGCGATAAAATCATAAATCGGGACGGATCAAGTCACAATCCCCAATAGTGCACGCCCCACACCCATCATCAAGCGTGTGCCTCACCTCAACATAGCACTACGACGTGCAATTTGGGGTTTCAAACTCTCAAAACATCATTTACAATCATTACTCACCTCGAATCGGCTAAATCTCTAGCTCGCGATGCCTTTGTCCCTCGAATCGACCTCCACGCGCGTCGAATCTAACCAAAATCAGAACGAGGACGTCAAAATATGCCAAGGGAACAAAGCCCAAGCGAAAACAATCAATAAAGGGCACAAATCCCGAAATTACCAAAACCTGACCCCCGGGCCCACGTCTCGAAGTTCAGAAATTCTTACACCAATAGATTCCTTATCTTCCCACGAGTCTATACATATCAAGAACACTCAAATCGGAGTCCAAATGATCCCTCAAATTCTCATTTAAAGGCCTCTTAAACTCAAGCCCTAATCCCCAATTTTCTTCCTCAATCCCCACTAAAATCATGATTAATCAGTGGAAAAATGGTCTTAAACCAAGTAATTAGGCTTAGGGAACTTACCCAAATGATATCCTTTGATTCCTCTAGAAATCCTATGCCTTAGCCTCTTTTCCCGTCTTCAAAATGATAAACTTAGCAAAATTTCGTGAAGAAAACAATATATACCTTCCGGCCAGAGATTTTCGCATCTGTGACCATTCCACCGCTTCTGCGGTATCGCATTTGCGGTTACTCCTCCGCTTCTGCGGAATTCACTTAAACGCCCAAAATCGCATCTGCGATAAGCCTTACGCACCTGCGACTCCGCAGGTGCGGTCCCACACCGCATCTGCGGTTCTTGGCAAAATCCCAAAATCCCGCTTCTGCGGCTCATCTCACGCACGTGCGGCGCCGCACCTGCGGTCCCCAAACCGCAGGTGCGAAAACACTAGAAGCAGCAATCTCAGCAGCTGCAATAACACCTCAACCTCTCCGTTAACCACCCGAAATCACCCCGAGGCCCCCGGGACCTCAACCAAAAGCACAAACATAACCTAATACGTTATTCAAACTTGTTCCAATCATCAAAACACTTCAAACAACATCAAATCAACTAAAACACCTCGGATTCAAGCCTATCTAAAAACTTCCGAATTTCGCTTTTGATCGAAAACCCAACCAAACCACGTCCGAATAACCTGAAATTTTGCACACACATCCCAAATGACACAACGAAGCTACTACAACTCTCGAAATTCCGTTCCGGTTCCTATATCAAAATCTCGCCTACCAACCGGAAATCGCCAAAATATCAACTTCGCCAATTCAAGCCTAAATCTTCTCCAAACCTCCAAAAAACATTCCGATCACACTCCTAAGTCCCAAATCACCTCCCGAAGCTAACCGAACCATCGGAACTCACATTCGAGCCCTCTAACACATAAGTCAACATCCAGTTGACTTTTCCAACTTAAGCCTTCTTAAAAGAGACGTCTCAAACTTCACCAAAACTAATCCGAATTCAATCCGACCAACCCGATACCTCAAAACACGGATAAACAAAACATAAAGAAACAGAAATGGGGGAAACAGAACGGTAACTCATGAGACGACTGGCCGGGTCGTCACAGAGACATACACTACCAAACACATATTCAGCAATGATACGTGAGCATAATGCTATCAAATCAATTATTCTTGGAGAATCTATCATTTACCAAGATATATTGATGATAATCGAATTAAATAGTGATGAATAATTTAAGGACCCAATTAAAAAAGTTAAATTTAATATAAAATAAATTCTTGTACTTAGCAAAATAAAACTACTAATCAAACTAGAATGTAAAAAAGAACTAGATTATTATAATAGTAAAGAACTAGATTAAAAGCGTAAACAATTAATACGTACAATAAAATTTTAAAAATATACTTATACATGTATAATAATAAGTTTTAAATAGGTATTTCTATAGTGAGTTTGGTTCGATTTATTTTAATTCAAACCAAAATCAAACTAAATTTAATTAATTTTTAAAATTTGAAACCAAACCCAAACCAAATCCAAAAAATATTTGATATTTTTGTCGATTTAATTTTTTTCGATTTTTTTTAACATTCCTAAATAAAACAATAGGATGCTTTCTTGCCATTAGGAAAACTATAAAAAAAGGTTATATTTTTCTCCTTTTTTTTCTTCTTCCAAAATGCTCTATAAAACTTGGCAAATGCTCTAAATGGGTCTTTTTCTAGCGCAACAGGATACCATTTTTTATTTTATCGCAGGATTCAAAAAGCAAGAGGAAAGAAGAAAGAAATCAGGGAGAGCACTAATTCTCACTTCTCAGTAATGGCTTCAATGGCATCATCAAATACCTACCATTTTTATCCCAATAAATTCAAAAGTAAAGTATACACTAGTAAATCTTCTTTCTTCCCTTGTATTGTTTCATGTAAGGAGCAGGAGCAGCAACAGCCACAGCAGGATGAAAACACCAAACAAATGGGTCGCAGGTACTTTCCCCCCCCACCTTGAATGTGAAATTATGAATCTGCAACATTAGAATCTTTCCTTTTGATAGGCATAGTACTCAATCTAGCTCATTGGTGTATGTAGGGAAATAATACTAAGGAGCAGTGAAATTGCAGTTCTTGGAGCTCTCTTCAACTTCAGGCATGTGTTTTTTTTCCCCTCATGTATTCTCCTAGCTGCATTTCTCACCTTCAAATTTCTTATCTGTTTGGTGCTAAGCCTTCTTGATATCTTTAAGCAACCAATTACATAATCTGTTTTCAAGATTTAACAAATAGTCCTTATAGTCCATAACTACTGGTTAATATTTTGGAAATTTTTTGCTGCTTGAGTAATTTGCTTAGATATTTTTAGATCTACAACCAATAGTCTAAGGATTTATGATCTGTTTGGCATTAGATAACTTAGACCAAGGTGAATTGAGTAGAAAAGATTGAATCTTGTTATTGTGATGCAGTGGTAAAAAGCCAAAATACTTGGGTGTTCAGAAGAATCCACTTGGTCTAGCACTTTGTCCAGCCACCAACAACTGTGTTTCTACTTCTGAGAACATCAGTGATTCTACTCACTATGCACCTCCTTGGTAATTTTCCTTTTCTTCCCTCTGTATGTTAAACTTTTGCTCTCTCTATATCTATCTCTATCATCATAAAAAGTGCACATATAACGAAAAGTGGTCAACTTTCTATGTGGTGATGATGCTTCACGTTTAGTCTAAGCAGCACTATCAATTTGCACATGTAAATTGTGCACATTTATATGGTAGGTACAAGCTGACATTTGAATCACAATGGCCACTCTTTTTTGACTTTTTCTTTAACTAGAATCACAACTGCTGATCTTGGGCGTAGATTCATTTGTGGGCCCGTCCGTCCCCGGTCATGGACAAGAGAACTTTACAGTCCATCTGGATCATCAAAATTTACAAGATGTAACTGAATACTGATAAGTGGAGGCGGATGCAATGTATTGGCACCGGGTTCAATTGAACCTAGTACTTTTGACGCGGAACATAAATTTATATGTAAAAATTCATTAATATTGTAATATATGGCAATTTGAACCCATAGCTTTAAAAAGACAACGAGTTCAATGCTAAAAACCTTAAAGGTTGAACCCATAAAATTTAAATCCTAGATCCGCCTCTGCTGATAACGTTTTAAGATGAAATGGATGTTTTAGATCCGCTCTGTCCAAGAATCAGTTTGCTCTTAAATATAAGCATCTTGGTAGACGGTCATTTTAGAGTAGTTCACCAATATGCAAGGAAATAAACAAATTGAAGGGTACAAGATCAGCCATTATCCATGGATACTGAACATAGATGTTAAACTTATAGTGCTTTGATTCTCAGGAACTATAACCCTGAAGGGAAACGCGGTAATGTCAGCAGAGAAAAGGCTATGGAGGAGCTACTTCAAGTGGTAAGTGTCTCAAAACCTGTTACTTATCAAAAAAGTGTCTCAAAACCTGTTTCTCATCATAACAAATAGTTGAACAATATATGTCAAATACCAGATTACTAATCTGCATCATTCCGTAGCTAAAATCAACAAAACCAGACAAGTTCTCTCCAAAAATAGTGGAGAAGAAAGACGATTATGTGCGTGTGGAATATGAAAGTCCTATCTTGGGGGTAAGTCTTCAAAGTGTTTCAAAGTTCGAATTGCTCAGTTATACACATCATTTTCTGCAGGCACTAATAAACAAGTACATGTTATTACAGTTTGTAGATGATATGGAGTTCTGGTTCCCACCAGGCAAGAAACCAATTGTACAGTATCGGTCAGCATCTCGCTTGGGGAATTATGACTTTGATGCTAATAGAAAGAGAATCAAGGTATGAATATATATAGTACTAAACACCTTCTTGCTGTTCTTGTTCTTTCCAACAATGGCATCCCTCTTTAAGTAAATGGCTAATCTGGTCATATGAAACAGGCCTTGAGATTGCAATTAGAGAAGAAGGGATGGGCATCAGAAGACACCGTCTGAAAGGTCTGATCTTCATAAAGGAGCAATTGTTCATTACTTGTTAGCATGATGAATAAGACCGTGTACCTAATTCAGATTGACTCATATATTGGACCTTTTAAATTTGGAAAGCTCAATAGAGCAGTGAAATAACATCATATTCTGGTCACCATGTTAGCTTTTGAAATTCTGATGAAAATTGTCTACGGCCTCAACAGAGCGTTGGACGTATAGGCCTTCTATTGTTGAGGCTGCATTTTACCAACAGAACAAGCAGCTGCAAATCTTCGTATACGCAATTACTCTGTATCAAATGGCTGGGAACTGGTAGTAGCTTTCTCCATTGCATGTACCTCTATTTTTCTTTCATCAGAATGGCAGCATCATTATAAGGCAATGGGGTGTCATATGACACCCATTGAGTAAAGGTGGGCAGTTGGCTGATTTCCTTATTGTGTTGATGCTGATTTATCTACCATTTAAAGAACAAAAATATCATAGAAAACACCAGTTGATATTACTCTTCCTTGAGCAAGAGAGTTCAACCTGAGGCCACAACTTCAATCTACCATTACTTGAACACAATTCTTACATGTTACGTATTTGTTCAGCGCATTAACCTATAGGTGAATATCATTTTTTCCGTCCAACTTTATCTTACAAAATTAAACTCCTCCTCAATATCCAATTTAGAACAATAAACATTCTTTCCCTCCTATCTTAAAAGTTTCATCTATTTCCCTTATTGATACTTCTCACTAACAAGAATGCCAATAACAACAACAATTATACTCAATCTCAAACTAAAATAAGCGTCACACATCAATCTTATTACTCCCTTTATTTGTTTATCTACTCATTCTACTACTTACAAAAAACAACAATAACGATAATTCAGTGTAATCTTACAAAAGGGTTATGGGAATGGTAGTGTGTTCGCCCCCTTATCCCAATTTTGTGAAGGTAAAATGGCTGTTTTCGGTAGCTCCTCGACTCCAAGCAAGCATGCAACTATTACTTAATAAATAAATAAATAATTTTGCATTGTCTTTTAAACATATTTTTTTTTAATTTTAACACTTTGTTACGGTTATAAAGTTAATATAATCAATTCCAATGTAATTTTAAGAAAATATTAGAAACAAATGATTAATAGTACATATAGTTAACTAAACATGTAGTAACAGTTTAAATACATATAGCTTGTTTGGATGGTTGTTACTTATTGTATTGTATCGTATTGTTACTTTAAATACGATATTTGTTTTGGTTGTTACTTAAATTTTATTGTATCGTATCATTAAATCTATCGTTACGTAACAACAAAATGCGTAACTTTATGTAACAATCGATTTGGTGTGGTTGCATCGTTATCTTGTCTTTTTCTCTCATCTTACCCTTCATTATTATTAAATATACCCTACCTTTTTAAATAATAAATTTATCCAGTATCATAATTTATCTTTATAATATTGCAAGTTTATTCTTCATATTGCTTGTGCGTGATATCATGAAACAACAACAAACAATACAATCTATCCAAACATTGTATTCATCAAACGATACAATATAATACAATACGATACGATACATTATGAAACGATGCATAACAACCATCCAAACAAGCTGTAAAGGGTACATATAGTGCTAATGCGTATATTGTTAATCTTATTTTTTCACCTACATACATTGTGATTTTTTCCAATTGCACTATAACTGATCAGAAATTATTATAGCATTGTGACACAAGTATACTACTATTAGCGAATGTAAAATTTAGCAGCATCTTTTTTTTCAAACAATCAAACAATCCTGAGCAGCAGAGCAATAGGTTGGAAAAGGCGAAGAAAGAAGAGAAGGAGAAGTGGAGAACGGCCATGATGGGCGATCTGCTCTCATGGCTTCTTGCCTTCTTCCTTCTCGTTGCCGTTCTCGCCGCCGTTCTCTACCAGGTTTTTTCGAATCTCTCTTCCCGTTTACCATCTTTTTTTTCTATATTAATTAATAGTATTCCCTATTTGTTACGCCTTTGTAAATCTTTTGGCTGTTAAAGTTTTGAAATTGGAAAAAGGTGATAACTTTTCCCTTTGAAGCTTCTACAAAGGGGAATATTTGAATGAAAATATCTTCTCTGAATTATGGATACAGCTTCAGATGATGAAAGCATATGCAAACGTGTATTTTCCAATTTTAACTCTCAATAGGGTTGCAAATTATCTGTACCCCAAAACGTCAAAGCCATTAGTACTTGCAGAGGCGGACCCAGAATTTGGAGATGGCGGGGGCACTATTATTTTTGTCATAGCCATGACTCATGCGAATTATTAGCTACAAAGTTTGACGTCATGCAACTCTCTTAAGACTTTGATGATTATGATAAGTTCTAAGCTTCAATTTTTAACATAGAGAAGAGTTTAAGAATTTTTGAGGGAGAGGTTTAGTCAAAGGAAAGGGGGTTTTGGGCGGAAACTAAAGAAAAAATTAAAAAAAGGACCAGAAACTAAAGGAAAAAAGCCAAAATAGAAATCTGGGCTTATAAATCCTTAAACTAAAACCAAAGTAACTGTTGGAGCTGGGAATCGAACCCCAGTCATCCACCCATAAGAGCAACAACACGCTGCAGATGCCACCAGTGCCCCAAACGGACATTTGAGATTGAGGGTGCCTAATAAAGTATATAACCGTTTCCCAAGGTATACAGCCTACATATACATATAAATACAGGTTTTTTCCTGAGCTTAACGGGTGCCGGTGACCCCTCTACCTTCCACGTAGGTCCGCCCTTGAGTACTTGGACCGGAAACATATGTATCAGATACATAAGTATCATACTAAGTTTGCCCGATTTCAATGCAGTTTGAAGAGCCCCTTACTGTAATTCACATTACGGGCTCTATCAAATAAATAAAGGGATAATGTATTTTGTTTTGAAGAGAGGTTAACCTTAGAAGCTTAATGAAGCATGTCATTTAAGAAATCACTTTGATTTGCTTGTCTGGCATTCTGATGTTTTCTCTTTTCATGGATGATGATGATGATGTTGTTAGTAAGATTTGTTAGCTCTTCTGGGCTTATTCAATCGACCTGGAAATCCATAAGTGACAAGTTCGTCTATTTTTGAATCTACTGGTCAAAATTCCCAGGGACAATGTTGTTTACCTTGAATTATAAGTTGCTTACCATTTTCTACTCATTGCTCTCCTTTCTATTGTTCTTTTCTGTTTATGTTTTTGGGGGTCAGTTAATATTACATTTGGAATTTCTTACTGCAGGTCATGTGCTTGGCGGACCTTGAAAATGATTATATCAACCCTTATGATTCAGCATCCGAGATTAACAGACTTGTGGTTCCGGAGTTTGTTCTACAAGGAGCACTATGCTTCGTACATCTTGTGATGGGGCATTGGTTTATGTGCCTGATCTGTCTCCCATACTTATATTATGATGTCAAAGTGTAAGTCTTTTAAATGAAGTATGTAGCACTGCTAACCGCTTCCTTCTGTTTCTTGGCATTGGCATCACAAAATGGTTCGACAACTGATGTTAGCTTTTTGGTTAGCTATACTGATCGTCGCCACTTGCTAGATGTAACTGAGATTTTCAATCAGCTACCATGGGAGAAGAAGATTCGATTGTATAAGCTTGGATACCTTGGGATACTCCTTGTCTTTTCTATAATCAGGTGTGTGTCAGTGACAAGCTATTCCCGTTTCTTATTATTGGTTTTAGTACAAGCTGTTCCGCCTTTTTAGGAACTTGTAACCTAATTACTTTATCTGGTTGTCTAATGCTGTATGTGATTTTAGTATGGTCTGGAGCATCGTGGCCGAATGAAGAATGAGGAATTGCTGCTCTCACCAAGGTTCTCTAGTTCCTCTATCTGTGATATGGCTCTGTAAATTTGCACAAGAAAAAAGATGGAGGACATCAACTTGGTGTGTTTCCTTCAACTTGTCCAACATTCTTTTTTACTCTTCATATAACCAGTATTGGCTCTCACAAGAGCTATTGCTCTTCAAGTTCTCCTAATTTCTTTTTAATTTTTTGTTTGTACATGTAAATATTTCCCCATATCTTCAACAAGCAGTTTCTACATGAGGTCATTCTAAATTTAACCTGTTACTGTGTAAAGATGGAGTATAGTTATCTCTTCAAACCAGATGCACTTTCACTTTTTCAAACTCTCATTTACTCTTCCGAATATCAAAAACAATGTTAGCTCCACCTGTCCCTTCAACTACCTTCTTTTTTTGTTTTTCTTGGGGTAAAGTTTCCAACTATTACTAACCATGCTATAGATGTTATTAAATCATATAATGACGTTTGCAGATGCTATCATATGTGAAAATCTAGATGCTATTTGCAGATGCCTATTTTCTTGAACTCGTGATGGGTGAGCTTTAAGTTACGGTCTAGATTATTGTATTTGTTTTCTGCAAGTATCAAACTTTCATGTATATTATTGTGCAGCAAGTGGTGGAGCACTTTTCCAAATAAGTTACTCACTTGCTGAACACTTTTCCTAATAAATTACTTCTTTACATGCGAAAGCAAGTATGCCTAAATCTGTCTGTTTCAAATGACTGATTCTAGTAACTAACTTTTACTTGATCCTTGAACTGCCTGTTCGCACAGTTTCTGTGAGAATATCTTCTGATTTAAAGTTCCTTGGACAGTTTGGTTTTTATTTGGTCATGTTTGATCACATACTGTGGGATAATGTAGGACCAAAAATGGTTTCCTTATTGGTTTAAATAATCGATTCCCAGGAAAGCTAGTTAGCCTATGCCATTAGGCCTTTGACTTGTGGTAAATCTGGCATTTGCTGTAAGCATGACCTGGTTTACGGTTCTGTTATAAACTACTGGCTCCTAATACTCCAAAAAGAAAAAGGGGTTATCCTTTGTTATCAAAAAAAAAAAAAAAAGGGTTATCCTTCGTCCACATATATTCTACCTGGTGCAACAAAGATCAAGTGACTGTAAAATTCTAATGTGAAACATCTGATGCTAATTCTCTAATGGGAATAAAGAAAGAGAAAAGAGGAAAGAACACAAACTAGAAAAATACAAGCTGGAAAGATGAGTTGCAGATAAGGGATGAATTTGCATTTTGTGCCAAGCAAGAACATAAAAGGCTTTGCTATGCATGCTCATTTTCGCTATGTTTACCCCACAAATTACACTTTATCCGGGAAAAAATATACCCAACCAAACTTCTTTTATAGGTAAAAGAAATTTTGTTATTATATCTCAGATGTCTCAACACTCCAATCATAACATTCAATGACTTATTGGTGGATCACTTAGAACCCACCAGAAGAAATATGGGAGAAAAGCAGATCTGTTTATTTAAGCCTTGAACTGTTAACGTGGTGAAGATGTATTCATTTTTCAATTTCTGGGAGCTACAGTTGTAAAGGACCTTTTGCCAATTCTGGGCACTTTACAATTATAAAGGACCTAAACATCTGTGGCATTAACTTGTGGAATTATTTTCTAAATATTTTCATCTCCTTTCTCTCAGGCCTACATTTGATGAATTTATGAAAATGAGATACTTTGGGCACTTGTATGTTGGAGCTGGCTTCTGTTGGTTTTCTCAGTAATGATGCCATTGTTGCTGAGAATGATGCTGATTGATGGGCTGCAGAATTATTCCAATTTAAGGAAAGGAGTTTGGTTGTCCTCAACTTGGGAAAACATATTGACGTTGATTATTAAGATATTATTATCACTACCATTGATGCTATTTATCTTTATTTTTTATTTTTTTTAATAATGAAGTGCTTATCTAATTACTTAAGATATAAGCATAGGTCAAATTAGTCATTTCAATTACTTCCTCGTAGAAAAGAATAGTCTTTTCAGTTAATTAGAAATAGAGTTCAGGTTCAGTTGTAAGTAAGTTCTATCATGGACATGAATAATATTTGATAAATTGATATCTTTTTATCCCTTTCTGTCCATCCTTTCTCCCTTCTTCCTTTTCCCCCCCTATCTCTTTTCATTCTTCTCTTCTTCTCTCGCCAAGATTTAGACAAGTAGAAATAGATTACCTAATTTTTGTCGTGCCGGTTTTTTGGACAAAAAATACGTTTTTATTACTAAAAAAAAAAAAAGTTACATAACTACCTAATTCGCAGTACTATACTGCGAATTACCTTAACGGAAATTTAGCCGTTAAAGTAATTCGCAGTACAGTACTGCGAATTATTAAAACAAAATAAAAATTTTAACTAATTTGCAGTACAATACTGCGAATTATTAAAAAAGATTTTTTTTTTTAACTAATTCGCAGTACAGTACCGCGAATTACTTAATCGCAGTACTGTACTGCGATTTCTTTATTAATTTGGCCCCACCAATTAACTGACATAACAATAATTCAAACACATAAAACGTAGTATTGTACTGCGAATTCCTTAAAAAAATTCTGCACCCCAAGCTCGGACTTGCCTTATTTAAAGGCGTTTCAATTTTATGAAAATTCATTCAATACAAACTTCAAACTTCCTTTCATACTTCTCTCTTCTTCTTATCATTCATTTTTGTACAATGTCTGAAGAGGCAAAAATAAAGGTTTCATTATATTGGGGGGGGGGGGGGAGGTTGTGCTGGAGAATAACTCTGTGAGGTGTAGCTCACCTCCATAGTGTCATATTAAATTGCCGCTTACTATGGAGTATGATAAATTGGTTTCGTTGTTATGTAAAAAAATGAGTGTGAGGAAGCGTTCGGTTAACCTTAAAGTAACCGGTAGGTTTCCGCAAGTGCAAAAGAGAACGCGTATACGGAACCAAATGGATGTTGGTGACACCGTTTATGCGCGTAAATGTGGCATATGCTCGCAAACAGGACACGACCGTCGTAAATGTCCTTCAGGTGGTGTGCGTGGCGGTGGTAATCCGGCTCCTGGTGCAAGTTCGTCGAATGTACCCAACTATCAAGGATACCCTAGCCTTTTGTTTTGGTATTGTTTTTTGTAATACGTATTTGTACTTGTGTATTTTGCAATATATATCAAATAAAATTATGTTCCACAATTATAGGCGAGACAAAATAATTAATTCGCAGTATAGTACTGCATTTTATGGGGTTGTCTTGTCGTTCTGAAAAAGATGAAACCCATGTGAAAAAAGTTGCTTTCTTGCAAAAAATTTAATAATTAATTCGCAGTATAGTACTACGTTTTATGGAGTTGTCTTGTCGTTCTGAAAAAGATGAAATCCATGTGAAAAAAGCTGATTTCTTTATGTTTCCTTTTAGTTCTACTGTTTGTTTTTGTGTTAGGTTTGCAAGGTTTGTGTTTGTGTTGTACTGTTTAAGTAAAATTCCTTTTAGTTAATTTTTTTTTTTTTTTTAATAATTCGCAGTACTGTACTGCGAATTAGGTAGTTATGTAACTTTTTTTAGTAGTAAAAACGTGTTTTTTGTCCAAAAAATCATTAGAAAAGTTTCGGACTCCTCTTCTGATACTGTCCTCAAATGTTAAACAAGCTCAAGCTCAAGCTCAAGTGATATAAGCTTTGATAGAACTTGGACGTGATATCATTTTGGCTTGGTACTTAAAATGAACTCAACCGTGAACATAAGTTTCAGCTTGAGCTTATGATATATACTTGTAAAACATTTTAATTGTTTATACAAGTATCCATTATAGCAGTAATATTATAGGCTTAGAGCCATTATAACAGAATTTGAGATGCAAGATTTCACTGAAACTACCCAAAAAGAGTCTCAATGTGGGTGAAACTAAGACTCTTCAACTTTTAATCCAAACGTGTTATATTAAAACATTCAAAGTTCTCTACAACTAATAATCTGCAACTACACAACAATAATACATGCTCTTGAGCTGAAAGAAAAGATTCTAGATTCTATCCTAACACAAGTTATAGCCGATCAGACGAGTTATACTATTCTGGTACCGCGTGTGAAGAGCTTCAGAATCTGGGAATGAATTCATGTCGAGTTAGATTACTCTCCCTGCAATGATATGTTAATATCTGTCGCAGACTTTCTTGAGTCTTGAACAGTTGGCATAGCGGTCCAGTGATTCGTTTGAATGGTGGAGGAAGAAATAATATTTTGATTTCCAGCTCCGGGAATGTTTACAGTGAGTGCATTGGAACTTCTAGGCTCCATATTAGAACTATGGGGTGCAGCAGGAGAGACCGCGGCATAAGGTATTGCTTTGGGTTCTGCTTTCTGTTTCTTTGGCTTGGCCTCTTGGTAGTTGCTTGGTAGAAAACTGCCCACTACAACCTGATTATATTGAAAGAGCAAAACTTGAGCATAAGATTGACCACACTCAATTATTAGGAATCTTGTAATAGTACATAAATTAGGTTACCTGGACAGGACTAGCAGCTATTAACAGTCCTGCAAGTGTACCTCCGACAACACGACCATCAGGACTTGCCAAAGAAATGCTCATTCCTCCGGTTCTGCTAGTACGAGAACCCCCAAACTCTGTTGGAGTAAAGGATCCAGACAAAGAAAGGATTTCAAATCGACCCTACACAATATTACAGAAGGGATTGATTACTCATCAACGGGCACCAAGCAGGAATGAATCTTTCTTAATGCAATAACTATGCCTCAATTCCAAACTAGTTGTGGTCAGATATATGAATTCTCAATATCCTTTCAGCTCCATTTCTGCACGTTTCTTTCACTAACCAATATTTTGTCTTTTAGGACAATCTGGAAACTAAGATGTTATCACAAAAGTTTGCTTCCTTTTTCTTACCATTTGTTTACCTATGTAGGAGTTCTCTTCTTTTCGACCAAATAATTGCCTCTTCTTTCAATTCAAACATATTTCTTATGGAACTTGAAGAAACTGAAATAATTAACTGGAGTAAATTACTGAAATAAAGCATATAATATCTGCATAAACTAATATTATTTGGAGTAAAACTATTAAAGTAAAGCATAATACATCTACATAAGCTAAGATTTTCTGGTAATGCCGCCTCATCATTCTAACGAGACACAAAGGAGATTTGAAGGAAAAGCATAGAAAAATTTGGACCCTGCCTTGTCGAACATGCATCCATCTCTAGCACGATAAGTTCTACTGAAATTGCCATACGATCAAACTGTGAGGCAACTTCAGCACTACCATGCTTGTGAGTAAACTATGTAATGAGTGACCCTCAGTTCATATCTTTAAGTTCAATCATTTACAAGGTTCAAAGAAAAGGTGGGCCATTGATAAAGAAAAATAATAACCACCATGGTGTGATGCAAAACAAAGAGCTATTAACTGTTGAGCACTCATACCAACCTCATAAGTCAAAGTTCCCCCTGAAGTATTTGGCTGCCGTAGAGTAACATTTGATATCAAACCAACAGCAGAAATAATGCAAATAGCTCGAGGTCCTTGCTGAGAAAATGAGATTATCTTCATGGTAACATCCTAAACAGCCAACAAAAGAGTAAATATTTTTCTGATCTGGAGACTTCTCCAGAGAAAATAAACAAAAAGAAGAAGAGGGTTGGATGGAATTGACAAGTCTGGGTTAGAAATTATAATTACAAAAGACAAGTCTAGTTGCATGGAGAAGGTTAATGCATAAAGCATAATGCATATGTTTAGAACATAATACTCCCATAGAAGTGCAGAAACTGGCCTGTCAAATCAGGAAGACGGTTGCTCCAATTGTAGAAGTTCTTGAAGAACATCTGACCAACTATAACCATGTAAGAAATCACTAAATAGAGAAATGAAAAGGATCACTCCTTTAAAATTAAAGTTCTGAAAATTTATTAATTATTTTTGGTGGCGAATCTAAAGTAGCTAGAGCATTATGGAGTTACTGGTATATACTCAGTAGTCATTGGTTATTGGTAAGACACTTCGTCAATTTTGTGCAGTTCATGCTCGTATTTCTCAATCATACTGAATTCTTTTTCTGATCCTCAATATTGGATTTGGATATAAAGACAATAATGAGTATGAGAGCACGTTACTAGTACTTCCCAGTTGTTATCTCAGACCCGGAAAAACAGATTGACAAGATTAACCATTCATATTAATTATCAGATGTTCCCTTAAACCACCTATCCCGCACAGAAGCCCTGCTTCTTCATTTTCATAAAAATTATGACTTATGTTGAGGTGTGTGACCATCTCATCTAAAAGCTTAAGTTATAACAGAGAACCCACTTTTATTTACTTAATTAGTATCTCAACAACTTCGAGGAGAATTAAGTTTGCTCCACTAGTATCTCACCCAAAAAAGAATGAAATACATTTCACCAGTAAATATCCACATGAAATAGTAGGAAAGGCAGCAATATTCCTTGTACAACCAAGCATACCTCACCAGCTTCAACTGTGATCATGTGCGGCAAAAAGTTGCCACCCGTGGAACATGAAATCCATTCACCTACAAGAGGACATCTACATAATCAGTTACTACAAGACTTGCATTGCTTTAGCATATCACTAAAGTAAAATTAATCAATATGGAAAAGAAATAATTAGCGTCCAGAAAATTTTGATTCAACAAAGCTACTTAAAGTTATCCAGCCAAGATTCACTCTTACTACATGCAACCAAAGCAATGCAGGAAAATCAACTTTTTATATTTTCCTATTCAACACAGAGTACATCAGAAAAGTTGGTGAAGTAAATGGAGAAACAGGGATTCTATATTTTTTCTTCGCAGAAAACTAAGCATCTAGAGATTTATGTTCCCATTCAGAAGGAATCCATGCCCCACTTGTGGGATTCAACTGGGTTGTTGTTGTTGTTCAGAAGGAATCCATGCACATATCTACCATAGATAAGTTTGTCCCAAAAAGGCCACACAAATCCTGTCCTGATCAACTAATGCCAAATCAATCTCTATAATTTGTAAAAACAAGTTCAAATCTTCATTTAGATCAAGTCAGGAAAGAAGAACATGATGATGAAGAAAAAAGAAAAGAAGATACAAACTACAGTGAT